ATTGCCTTGAGACAGACACTCTCCATGTGTGTATAAAAGACAGTAAACTCCTCGATAAAGAAAATATATCAACCAATTTATCGAGAGCTAGCTATCACAAATTAGGTCATGAAATTTGAAAATTGTGTATGCCACTTCTGAATAAGACCATGTCATGTGTCTATTCCAACTACTTAAAGACAATAACTATCTCAAGTTTGTGTCATCATCACTTAACAATAGCTTTCATGTTCTTTAAAAGTCCCCTTATCAATAACGTTTGAGTTGTCTAAAATAGCTCTCCTAAAGATCAGTGATGAATTTTATGCATAGGAAGAAGGATATGAGTTCACTTACAGTTGAAGTAATGTACTCTTCAAAAGACTCACGATATTTGTCATACAACTGTTGGGAGTAATCATGTGGTGGCTTCTGTGTACACATGTTGTAGATGGTTCTGGAACATAAAGTTTAAAGAATTACTCAAGAATATGTAACTTAATAGAGCAAATGACCAATCACAAGGGTAGCATAGTAAAAGAAAATATACGTGTAGAGCATCATGTAATCCTCTGAGCTGAATTGTGGCTCGGGAAGACCTTCTAGAATATTCTTCAACTTTGTTATTCCTTTCTGCATGAAGTCCCATCCTTGCTCTAAGTCTATTGTTTTTCTTTCATTCATTTTGATTACAATGTTGAATTGGATTATAGCTCTGAAAAAGGAATCAAGGCATTCGTTGTTGTTAGTGAGGGGCAAAGCTTTATTCACCAAAAATAGAATGGTCAAAGACACAAAACAAGGGAAACAAAGTATCCAAATTGAAAACCTTTAACCTGTTTAGTTAATTGGAACAATATTGCAACTCATCCTATGAAAACTGGAGCAGTTGATAATATGACTAGTATTTAAGCATCTAAACAGCTCTTTGTTTCGAATTATACGAATAGTTTGGATCAAAATCAATACAACAAATGTTTTTAAATGAAAAAAAAAAATGGCTATAGAAAGCTTGTCAAATAAGGAAACAAATGTTGTAATTTTCATCAAGAAATTCAAACATCGGATACAAACAAAAATAAAATCTTTGGAAACTAAAGCCTGTGATGGTTGAATTTCAATCCAAAACAAACATAAACCTATAGAACTTCAAGCTATCATAAGACAGGTGTAAACGAAAGAGTACTCTAATTGCATTGCCAAATTATAACAACTACGCCGCCATTTCTACAAAGGATCGATAAATGACCTAATATCGTAATATGAACCCCAATCCGTAATGGAGAACCTTGCATAAACCCTAAAAACCTAGAAAAACCAAATCCAAGAGCAAGCATAACCTAACCACAGCTCCAGCTCGAAATCCCCAAAAATTTCAACTTCAAAACATCTCATCAACGAAACGACAAGGGTTTCAGAGCAGAAGCGGTCGCAATCGAAGTCGTAAGTAATTACAAAAGGGTTTCAATAAAATACGATCTGGGCAGTCTGATCACACAACCAATTTAAGAAGATTTGCCTGATGTTTTCGCATATAATTCTTAAATCAAACACATACAGAATTACAGATTGAGATTTGAAAAGCAATTGGCTGACCTGAGGATCCCTTGGAATCGAGGAGCAGACTAGGAGTGAGAGAAAGAGAGATGGGGGCTAGATACTGGGTCTTCTCTTTCTCTCTCTTGTGCTTGTTCGCTTTAAATTAAGCCCTTCTTCCCTTTTCGTGTATATCTTCCACGGAATTAACTTTCGTGCATATCTCCACAGAATTTAAATAGGAAGTCATTAGATTTTAATTATATTAAATATTTAAAGATCGATTAGTACAGTATAGTATACATTAAAGAGTTTTTTTTTTTTTTTTTCTTGTATAAACTTCCATAGCACAATTGCAGAAAATTTATTTATTTATTGAGAAATTAAATATCCTTTTACATTGTTCCTATCCATTTAAATTATTATATGTAATATTAATATCTTAAAATATTATAAATGAACATTAAATGTTAAATATATCACCATTTTATTGGATAAAATGATACGTAGGAATAAAAAGTAGAAAGATATTTAATTTTTCATATATAATTGGCAAATATTATTTACAATGTAATTTGTGATAACTAAAATAAAATTAAAAAAACATGTATAAATATAAATATGTAAAAATTGGAAAATCATAAAAAGTTTATGCTATAAAGTTGTAAAAGTTTTATATTTTTATAAACTTGTATCAAACTACCATAGCACAATTGTAGAAAATCTATGTATTTATAGTCGGCAAATATAATGTAATTTGTAAAAACTAAAAAAATTATTTAAAAAATGCAAAATTGCAAGAGTGGTCCCTATGGTATGTTCAAAATTGCCACTTTGGGCCAAACGGGTTTGGACTAGCACCAATGGTCCAAAAGTTTTCATTTTGTTGCAGTTTTGGTCCAAAACAGCTTTAAAAATCTTAAAATGACAGATTTGTCCCTTTCTATTTGTTTTTTGCTTTTCTTTCTGTTATTTAAATACTTTCTAACTAAAAAAACATAAATAAATGAATCTCTCTCTCTCCCTCCCTCTTTCTCTCTCCAGTTAAGAGAACGCCACCACCCTCACTCCTTCCCCCAAGCCTCACCCTCACCGGAAAGCATGAACACCATCGCCGAAAAGATGAACGCCATCGTCACCACCAGAAAACATGAACGCCACCAACACCACCAGAAAAGACGAAACCTTCGTTGGTGATGAAAACCCACTGTTAGAGACCTTCGTTGGAGCAGAAAACCAATCGTCGGAGCTGCCTGTTATAGAAAACCCTAGCGCCACCACGTCATCTTGGTCCTTCTCCGGCGACGCTAACGCTCTGTCGTCCACCCTCCCAAACGACTTTATAACAGCTTAGGGTTTGTGATGGCAGCGGCTAGGGTTTATATATGGGGCGTTTTGCGACTAGAAATCAAGGGGGATGGCCGCCACCTTTGTTTCTCCTCATCTCCGACATTTCATCTGTTCGTCGAACTTCAGATCTGGTAAGCTCACTTTTGTCGAACAATGGTGTCGTCATCTTCCTCAGTATCGTCGTCCTTATGCTCTATTCATCTTGAAAACGTCGTCGCCTCGTGACCTCCCTCTTTACACATCTGCAACATCATCAAATCGCCGTTGGAATTGAGCGGTTTGTTGAGGAAGATGGGTTTGCTGAAGAAGATGGTCGCCTGAGAAGGTGACGTGAAATGAGTTTGTTGAGGAAGATAGCGACGCCTTTCTGATTCTTTAGCGATGGTCGCGAGATGTAACCTAGATCGATGGTATGACTAAAGGCGGTGGTGATACTGATCGGTGGTCATAGTGTGACAACCCAAGTTGCCCCGTTACATTTCTCCGTTACCATTAACGGAATATTCCACTGTATAAAAGTTCCGTTACTTAGAGGGCGTCAATTTAGTAAACATTCCATTTGGTTGCAATAAGCATGCCGTTAAGTCGTGATGAAAGGAAATAAAAACACAGGACACACATTTCCATTTATTTGGAAAATGTCAAGTTTTATTATTACGACCACTAAATCGGGTGTGACCAAAAGCCCCGTTTAACGGCAGTATCGGGTAAAATCCCACTGAGCCCCAACTCAAAACCTATATAAGGGTGAGTGGAGTCTATTGGAGACTTTTTACACACTCTCTCTATACTCTCTCTCTAGACCCGTTTTCGCCCCGAATCCGCAACCAAACGCTTCCAAATTGTAAGTCCACTTACCCTAGCTTGTTCTAAACATTACTAGCTGTAGTTATAGCCCAAAAACCATCCAAGAAGGCATGGGATAAGGAGTTTACGGCCCAGGAACACTCTAGGGCCGTAAACCCCTAAAATGGTGCCAAACATGCCTCTAAAATTGTCCTTAATCTTGGAAACTAATTAGGGATCTAGCCTAGGAGTGTTTAAACATCAAAACACAAAGATTGAGGGCATAAAAGAGAGTTTACGGCCCAAGCACATGCTTAGGCCGTAAACCCCTCTAAACCATGTCAAAATGCCCCAAAAACACTCCCAAACCACCCTTAGGCTAGGGACTAAGTATTTGGGGTTTGGAACAATTAAACACATCAAAATGAAGGATGAAAATGAGTTTACGGCCCAAGTCTATACCAAGGCCATAAACTCCCCAAACCAAGCCAAAATGTTGGTTTTTGTCCCCTAAATGGCCTTAGACATTTACCATCAAATACTAGGGAGGATTTAAGGAATTAAACACATGAAATGGAGGGGTAAAAAGGAGTTTACGGCCCAAGCAAGTGTCTAGGCCGTAAACTCCCCAAAACATACTCAAATGGTAGTTTTAATCCCCCAAAATGGCATCACACTTCATTAGAAATCACTAGAAAGGCATTAGGGGCTTTAAACTTCACAAAACTCTAAGGATGAGAGTTTACGGCCGTAAAATCCCTTAGGAGTGGTTCCTTGGCCGTAAACTCATAGAAAATGCCCTTAGAAGCCTCAAACCCACTCATGCCTTTGAGGAAAAGTGCTTAGAATAATTCCATGATGCAATTGGAAGCCTTAAACACACTAGAACTCATCACCATGAGTTTACGGCCGTAAACTCATGGTGAGAAGTCCCTGTGCCGTAAACTATGTATTAAGGGGGTATTCTTGGATAGCAAGCTCCATTCCTTAGCCATTGACACCCTTAAACGCTACCCGGGACACCCAAACACTTAGCCAAAGTGTTTTCCGCTCCTGTGAGCGCGTATAATTGTTTAATTGGTATTAAATGTGCTAATTGCATGTAAACATATATTACCGCATGCACAAGATTCTACCACTTTACACTGTTTTACCGAGTGGGACACTATAATGATTCTTACTTATTTCATAACTTTTACTGGTATTGTTTTATCTAAATTCATTCAAAACTGGTTTATGAAGGATTTCCAAAGGCTTTCAAACATGTTTTTACAAAAGAATACAAATTGTGATTTTCCCGAGTATAAAGGTTTTTCATCAAAATTCACTTTCACGACATATACTTTTACTTCTTGTTACTACTGCTTCACTTTTACTTATTTTAAATTCCTACTCGATAACGCTTTCACTTCACGATACGCTTATACCGGATTTTGTCTCTATATCGCTTATACTTGTAGCCTCTTATACTTGATAGACGTTCTTACTTCACTTATTGTCGTCTATGCTTCGTGATACACTTATACTTGGTACACTTATACTTCACAACTCGATGTTCCACTGTACGCTTATACTTCACGACTCGATGTTCCACTGTACGCTTATACCTCACGACTCGATGTTCCACTGTACACTTATACCTCACGACTCGATGTTCCACTGTACGCTTATACCTCACGACTCGATGTTCCACTGTACGCTTATACTTCACGACTCGATGTTCCACTGTACGCTTATACTTCACGACTCGATGTTCCACTGTACACTTATACTTCACTGTATGATACACACTCAAGCGTAGTTAGACGTATGTTTATTCTTGTATAGATGCATATAAATAATGATTGAAGGACTTAGGAAGGCTCGTCCGCCCTATTTCCTTTTCTTCGTTGAGATGTGGTCTGGTGGGATCGGATGTCCATCTGAAGGTCGTTCGATTCATTAGTTATATATTATGTACACGAGCATAGACATACGAGTCTTCTTCAGTAAATTCAGTTAAGAGTATCTACCTCTAAATCAGCACTTACATTAAAAACCCACTACCCACTGTTTGGAAGTCATTACCCACTAATTGGGATGCATCTTCGGGACGCGGCCTTCTCCGTCGTCTAATTGGTAACCAGAGTCTCCTGTAGGGAGAGCTGACATTGTGTGTATAGATCTATACGGGATTGACACCCCCGCACCCTGACTGCTAGCTACAGTCCACGGCACACCAAGCCAAGGGGTGACAAATGTCACATTATCAAGACGCTCGTAGGGCGTCTGGTTCTCTAGTGTCGGTTAGTATGGTTACGAGTATCCCGCGTTACCTTATAATTCTTTGGCCTTAAGGTAACGGTATTTCACCGGCAATCTACACTGTATGCTGGTGATCCATTTTCAGAGTCACACTGTTTTGACCTTACAAGACGTATCTTTCATTTGATACTGTCTGAGGTCTGTTATCTCTGTTTTGACCTTACAAGACGTATCTTTCATTTGATACTGTCTGAGGTCTGTTATCTCTATTTTGACCTTACATGACGTATCTTTCATTTGATACTTTCTGAGGTCTGTTATCTCTGTTTTGACCTTACAAGACGTATCTTTCATTTGATAGTGTCTGAGGTCTGTTATCTCTGTTTTGACCTTACAAGACGTATCTTTCATTTGATACTGTCTGAGGTCTGTTATCTCTGTTTTGACCTTACAAGACGTATCTTTCATTTGATACTGTCTGAGGTCTGTTACCTCTGTTTTGACCTTACAACACGTAGCCTTCATTTGATGCTGTCTGGGGGTCTGTATCCACTGTATTAACAGAATCCACTGTATTCACGGTATTCACTGTGTTCACCGTTCTAGACCTTGCTAGATGTATCTTTCATTTGATATTGTATGCGGTCTGTATTCACTGTTTAGACCCTACTAGTTGTACCCTTCATTTGGTACTTTCTGGGGTCTGTGTCTCCACTTGTTAGGCTGAACCAGGCGTGTCGTTTGTTTGATACTTTCCTGGAGTCTATGGTTCTTTGCCTTAGTCAGCAGTCCTCACTGCTGAGGCATATGATATTCCCTGATGACGTTGCTTTCCTCAATAATCAAATTCAGTATTTTGATAATGATAGCAATTTAGGGAAAACTACTTTTTACCCCACATCACTGACCAGTCTTGGTAGAAGGCTGCTTTTATTAAAGAAAATATAGGATTTTCTGGAAAGGACTCTAATACACTGAAATCTCTTAAACTATTACTTTCTTAAGTTAATTGAATGAAATGTCACTAAATGCTTATGAACTCACCAGCATTTGTAAAAATGTTGATACTCGCTTTTCAAATAACTTGTATTCTCAGGTTAGCATTAGACAGGTACATCCCCGGAGCTGTTGATGAAGATAGCTTAGTACCATGTTGTATTTATTCTATTACTTGTATTACTTTAAATTGTTGTAATGTGACATTGTAAAACTATTACTATTAATGCAATGTTTTGTTGTACTTTGATTACTATAATGCATGTGTTGTGATACTTGACATGACGTCATCCACCCCAGAACGTTTCCGCCGTTCCGGTTTTGGGGTGTGACAGATTGGTATCAGAGCATTGTTTATAGTGAGCTAAGTATATCAATTCATAAAAGATATACAGCCTATAAATACAAAAGGGATAAAACACTCTGACCAACAATTATACTTTAAAATATAACCATATTTTACCAAAGTATAATAACATCTAGAATCTAAGCAGTTGAACAAAAGTATCACAAGAAGAACAATAATAAAAGTCTTCGGATGTTGAACCCTATAGTCAAACCTGGGCAGTTATGTAATCGTAAGCTGGAATAAATGTAACCTGATCAACTACATTTATTCGAGGTGCGATGAACGTGTGCTCGGGAATGATAGTGGTGTGCAACAGGTCTGAAACTTACCAACTAGGATTGTTAGAGCCAAACATAAAGTTAAAATACTATAAGAGTATTTTAGAACGCTAAAAGATCCACACTAATC